ACTTCTCGGTCGACGCTGTCAAAGGCCTTCTCAAAGTCGATGAAGTTGAGGTAGGGAGCTGATTGCCATTCTATGCTCTGTTCTATGATGATGCGAAGCGTTGCAATTTGGTCTGCACATGATTTGTACTTCCTGAAGCCTGCCTGTTCCGGTCGCAGTTTTGAATCCAGTGCGTCTTTAAGCCTCTCTAGGATGATGCGGCTTAATATTTTACTTGGGGTGGACAGGAGAGTGATTCCGCGCCAGTTCTTGCAAGCACTGAGGTCTCCCTTCTTCGGCAGTTTGACAAGGTAACCCTTCTTCCAATCAATAGACAGGTACCTTCTCTTCCTTCCACACCTTCTGCAATAGTGGTGTGAGCATGTCTGCTGTTGTCTCTGCATCTGTTATCTTGATATGACTATGGACAATAAATTATGTCCGAAACATAATCCAGTAAACAATACTGTTACACTGTATGATAAATCGAATAAGTCAACAAAAATAAAATTACATTCTACCACAGTGCACAAGTTTTACTCTTATATTTCCAGTGTTTTATTTTGGATGTTTTGGAATGAGGTAATTGCCCACTGTTTATTCGCACGCTTCTTTTTCAGATAAGTCGATATTAACCCTACTCAACTGAATTGAAAACTCATATTCCACATTTATTCACAACCATGAAGATGAATAAGTTTTTTGAAGAAATTCTTCAACATATCAACAGCTTGAAGGAAATTTCATTTCATTGATCATCGAAACTGAAATGTTAACTTCCGGATATTGCGGTGGATACGAATATTCAGAGTGAGTTGAACACTGAGCTAGGTTCTTGGTTAGCTAACGTTCCAGTGTCATACTAGAGGTCGTCATCAGTTCGCCAGAGCTCCACTTCGTTGTGAGACGTTTGCCAACTAAAACTGTGGCTCGGCAAACACCCCAGTATGAATAAAAAGACTTCTGTCTTAGCCTTTTTTTCAGAACAAAGGTCTTATATTTTAACCAGCAGAATATTAAACCAGATAATTCATAAGTTGATTGGAGTTGGTCTCAATAATTGGCTCCTTTTAACACTATTCATAAGGTCTTCCCTTTGTTAAAGAAATGCTGAAGATATTGGAGTTCAGTTAGACATTGAATTCAAATTAAGATCTGGCCAGCAGCTGGGTCACGTAATTCTACTGGTGAAGCATCCGATCGGTAACCCAGGAACGGTTAATCCTACCACAACAGAAATTTCCATTTCACCTTCAATCATCATTTAGTATCAATAATCCAAATCTGCTGAGCCACGGCTATCTCAATAGGTCAAAATACTTAGTATTGCTTTAGGAACTTCATACAGTTATTCTATTTCATGAATTTGAATGAACGAAGATGAACAGTAGTAGCAGAACTGGCACGCATGTATTTCAGGAAAGTGGTTACCCACAAACGTTCATTGACAAATACATTAGGACAGAGGAGAAGAGTAATAAACGAAGTACAGTTGACAAGAAGCCTGTCTATCTACACCTTGTCTTTTAAGGGGATAAAATTGCCACAATATGACTCACAGACTGAGTGCTGCAATAAAAATCACCTATCCAACCGCCAAGTTAGACTGTGTGTATCATACTAAATTCTCATTGACATAGTTCAAAGTGAACAAATTCCCAACTCTTGTTACCTTTAACTGTATCTAACAATGCCTATGCACGTATCAAAGCAAATGCATCGGTAGGGTTCTTATCCGCATTTCTAAACATATCCCGAAGAATCCGAGCCTTAAGGGTCTCCAGGGTTTAAGTAATAAAATCTCTCGACATTGATTTGATATTGGACATTAAGTCGACGTCATAAAGTCATTCAAAGTAACCAATAAACAACACAAACCTTCTATTTTGCGGTTTGCTGAAGCAGTTACAATTAAGCGACTCAAACCTGATCTATGTATTCAGAAAGATACTGTTGTCAATCTTGTATCACCTTGGTACTTTAAATCCACCACATTTGTTAGTACAAGATTTCATAACCTGATGACCTTTAGCTTTTTCGCACTTTGTGAGTTGTATTCATCTTATTTCTCAATGTAATGAAAACCTTTTGACCTTTTACTAAGTTTACTTAACCATAACATCCTTTTTACTATGTCTGGAATAACACTGCTCACAGTCTCCTCCTATTTATATGCATACAGAGATGCATAATTTTTCTCCTATCTTCTCTCGAATGTTCATTCTTTCATGATATCAATACTTCATTTTTAGCTAGTCTTAACAACTTCATCAATATGGGTCAAGCTGTAGTGACCAGCTGTTGATACGTTTTTGTTTAACCTGTAGGTAGGTACCTTGTTGCAGGGGGCACGTAAAGTAGTGTGAGTTTAGTAGTCACCACAAGAATTTCGAAGGGAAAAGAGGAAGAGAAAAAAAAGGTGAACCGATGACTTCACTAGTACGGCTTGACAACGAAGAGGTCAAGCAGTCTAGAAATGGAAACTAGAAGATGAATGAGTAAGATTTTGAATGCGTTACAAACCTAAATCTTTGTTACCTTCCATCTTACTTCATACAACATTTTGTTAACTTATCAAGTACGTTTTATAATTTATTATTCACTATAAACATTATATCCCATAAGTTGTTAAGCAGCTGAAGAGAACCCACGAAATATATGCGTGCTAATTCTGTACCTTTGTTCTTTCTGCTTTATTCAAATAGTATTGTCATTGAGAATAAGATTTCTGACAAAATTAATTGAAATAATCCAAAGAAAGTTAAACAACCGTTTCTTTTTACTTCTGTTAATATTCACTAAAGAAAGCGCATTGCTCCTATTGTAGTGGGTATTGCTGATTAGAATGGATATAAGTAGTATACGTTGAGAGGACGGCAGAAGTCATGGAAAATTACCAGCAGTGGGTAAATATTCTGCCCAGAGAAATGCAAGAGACAATGTGGACGCATTATTATTATTTGTCCCGTGGGTTCCCAGTAGAACATAGGGCTTCAGTAGCACGTCTCCAGTGCACTCTCTTCCCTGCAGTTTTTTGAGCCGGACTCCACCACAGCCCACAAGCTTTCATTCCTTCGTCACAAAATCTCCTCCATGTCACACTCAGTTGGGACGCCCAACTCATCGTTTCCCCTTTCGATATTACTCTAGTGCCTGCCCCGTGATGTCTCCAGTCGGTCTTCTCAGTGTATGCCAAATCCATCTCCACTTCCTTCTGCATATTTGTTGAGCGTCAGCTTCTTGGTTGGTTCGTTGCGAGTCAGCCACAGCTCCTTGTTGCTTATTCTTATTATTCTGGCCATCTGATCTTCAGTAACGAGCCAGAGTAGGCAGTTGTTGATGAATATCTGTAGTTTGTTGGGAATGCCTTTCGTAACGCACCAAGTCTCTGATCCATAAAGAAGCACTGACTTGACTGGATTGGTGTTCGAAATCCGGATGTTGTTCACGCTTTATGCTGAGTGCAGAAGATCTCCACACTGGTTTCAGGTTAATGAACGTCTGCCTTGTGGTCCTTCGGATCCTGCCTTTGACGTCCTCGTCCGTGCCGCCACCTGTAGTTGAAACAGCGCTGCCTAGATAGGTGAAAGAGGCTACTTCCTTTAAGTTTCTCCCTTTTATGGTGATTGGAGATGGTTGTTGTTGTTGGTGGGTGGGTGTATTGAGAGCAAATCAAGATAGAAGCAGAAGATGAAATGAAGTACATTATGCAAATGACTGTCCTAGTGGAAGGTTTACAATACTTGATAACTACTGTACAAGATGTCAATACTAAACATTCCTTCCTTCATCTACGTCTTGTCATTTTCTACACTATTTCTGACTGAGTCAATCGTTACATGTGTAACGCAAATGTACGGTATCTCGATATGGCTCTCTACAATAATGTCGTTGAATAAGCATTTTTTCGCGTCAATGTCTATTTTTTTTAAATAACATCTTGCTAAGTCCTACTAACCTTGAAACTTATCCTGACATTTCCTACCATTTAACCTATGGAAATACATGACACAGCATAATACTGAGTCACCTTTGTGATACAGTTCGGTCACTGTTGACCTTGATATCAGTGGGTAAAATAATTATCCAGAAGTAGTATTCATCATGGACTGATATCAGTTGGGGAACTATTGAAAATCTGGGAGCACTGGATAGCTGCTTCGTCCTAGTATGGGACCCCTCAGCAGTACGCACCCACAACCCGGCTAGGAACCGAACTCAGGACGTTCAGGTTTCACGGCGGACGCGTTAACCACTCAGCCACTGGGTCGGTTTCCAGTGGTTCACAATTTCCAACTTCTGTCAATTCACAACATAGCGCGACTATCACCCAAGGTCTTCAGTTAGCATCCACTTCACTTCCGACTGCTTGACACCATAGGTGCCATGGTGAATACTACTTCTAAATTAAAAATCCCCATTCATCTCAAAAATAATTATCTGACAAAAGTATTCAGAAATCCTACAGTTCCACACGTTGGGATGTTTGGAAGCCTTAGTGCATTTGACGAAAGCTAGTACATTTCTAAGTTATATGTGTGTATATGAACATGCGCATCATATTCCTCGATAAAATCAATAAATTTCTACTCTCATGAAGTCACCTGATTAGTACTGGTGCTTGTGTTTAGATTAATAATATATTCTTACAACGAAAGTGCTTCGATTGCTAACAGATTTTCATTTTGTACTCTATTAAAAATGACCTTTTGAAAAAGTGAAGGTTTTATGAGCGTCAGTATGCACATATATCAATACATATTGTATAATATACGATTGTACTTTGAAGACTGCCACCTTTTAATGAATTATATAGAGTATTTTGATTGGTTAAAAGGTTGAGAATTAAACAAAAAGATGGGGGATAAAACAAGAATTTGATTATTCGTCACTTTGTAAGTAGTCTAGAGAAAAAAAGAGAGTGAGAGAGACATTCGAAATAACAATTTTTAATGATTATTTTTCATTGTACTGTTAAAAATGTTTACTGTTCGTGAAATTTGGAGATATACAAATTAGTTATGGCTGTAGATGATGAAACAGAACCGCAGCAGGAACAACAACTAGAGAAACAGCAACACTCAGGTAAAAGTTCAACGAAATCTGACTTACATGACTTCAATTTGATTTGTTTGAAAGAGAATAATCGGTAAGTAATCACGTTTATTTGGTTAATTAGCAATTTATCTTTTAATAATACGTCTTATTCTTCTTTTTCGGTAAACGTTTTTTACTATTAACATTCATAAGAGAATTTTGGAAACTAGATTACTATACATTACTATACACAATTAAAACATAGGCAATATCGAGGCCCATTTGACAACGGAGACTGGACAATTCGGTCCAATCAACGACGTTGTAATACACGCAATAACACTAAAACTATATCCTTCCCTCAATAAGTGGCTATCGTCGCTCTGTTGTGTAGGGGATAATGCTCTCGCGTTTGAAGCAATCGTCCCCGAGTCCGAGTTCCAGTGGGAACAACATCACTGAGTGGGAGGCAGGTACATCTAGCTGACGAGTCCCGAATAGGACGAAATGCGCATCCTTGATTCCACTGCTAGCCACTACCCATCGTTACTATACATACAGTAAATACTGATAACATTTATCAGGTTTATTCCAATATAAAGAGGAAAAACGTTTTTTTCATCGTTAGCATTCTTCGATGACTCGTCCTTTCATCCATGTTTAGTACTCATTCTTAGTTTCAGTCAGTGCACCATAGGCTTGAATTCGATATCGTCTACTGATACTTGATTAGCTTGGATGCCTTATGTATGAACCTTCATATGTTTGCTTATTTACAATAATTCACATGCACATATCTCCAGTTAATGAAACCTGTTCCACCTAACGTAGATAATGTGAAAAGATAATATTGTTGTTTACTAGCCTAGTTAAGACAAGCGTTCATTAACCTAAAACCAGTGTGGAGATCTTCTGCACTCAGCATAAAGCGCGAACAACATCCGGATTTCGAACACCAATCCAGTCAAGTCAGTGCTTCTTTATGGATCAGAGACTTGGTGCGTTACGAAAGGCATTCCCAACAAACTACAGATATTCATCAACAACTGCCTACTCTGGCTCGTTACTGAAGATCAGATGGCCAGAATAATAAGAATAAGCAACAAGGAGCTGTGGCTGACTCGCAACGAACCAACCAAGAAGCTGACGCTCAACAAATATGCAGAAGGAAGTGGAGATGGATTTGGCATACACTGAGAAGACCGACTGGAGACATCACGGGGCAGGCACTAGAGTAATATCGAAAGGGGAAACGATGAGTTGGGCGTCCCAACTGAGTGTGACATGGAGGAGATTTTGTGACGAAGGAATGAAAGCTTGTGGGCTGTGGTGGAGTCCGGCTCAAAAAACTGCAGGGAAGAGAGTGCACTGGAGACGTGCTACTGAAGCCCTATGTTCTACTGGGAACCCACGGGACAAATAATTATAATTTAATATATAATACTGGCCTAGTTATATGTGGATTACTAACAATAGTTGACTTATACGTTAACGATAACTTATACATGTTCGTAAATGTGTTAATCATGTAATACGAACAACCACAAAGTAGAAAAAAATTCAGCAACAGCACTGAACTACTAAAAGACTGAACTAAATACATTAGAATTTCTGATATAGTTGATGCACTTTTGACAGTCATTGGTAAAATCATTGCTCCTAACCTTTTCTGGCGTATGGAGATACTTTCTTGAGGGTAGATAACTACATGAAGTTATAATTTAGTATATCGTATAAGGTGTATTCTACGTGCATAATCCTCAACCTTTCAGTCTATATAGGAAGACATTTTTCAGTAGTACGAATAAGACATTTAAGCTTTAGATTAATATTCAAGTATGATACAGAAGGTGACCTTTATGATCATCTAATTAGATCGTGATATAGAATAGAGAGCAAAATAATTTACGTGAGTGATTTAATAAACTGGTCAAATAAGTTGTTTGAAACAATTAGTCCCTTTGATTACTTGGCATAATTTAATCAGAAATGTGGTGTATTTGCGCAATACGTTTCGAACAATATTGAAATAATGGAAAAGATTTGTCCCTAAGTTCGAAGATGATGGTGTTTTGGTGTTCTTTGAGCTTCAATATTTTGTCGTGAATGTTTACATCATTAGGCTTACTGACATCTTCAGTGTTAATCTCACAAAGAAGTGAAGCATATTCGAATATTATACGAATGTTTAGATTGTGTTTTTATTGACCTTGGATTTTGTCCAATTGTAAGTTGCAGAAGAATATTTTTATCACCACCTGACCTCTTTGAACTTAAATTTCTTTCAGTTACATTATTTAATATTCTTTGTTAGAGTGAAATTGTACTGTTTGTTGTCATGTTCTATATCATTATTGATGTGTTCGGTCAGTTTGTCCTTAGTTGAGGGATAACCGTTTTTTCTTTGCCAATGTAGATTTGATCCCTATCCACGGGTCTATTGACATTTCATTTGAGCGCCATGCTCCTAGAAATTCTCTTACAGCTTTCAGACCCACCGTTTAGAGAATTCCCATGTTCTCCCAGTCGAATTTATGACCGAGAGATTATCTGTATGCATTGAAACCATGGAGGCTGCGTCATGTCGCTTTACTGCTAGTTGGTGCTCATAAATTCTTGGAGTAATCCGCCAACTAGACCGGTTGGCATTATGTTATGAACAATCTTTTCAGTTGATTTCGTAAATTTTATTTGTCTTGTTTATAGATATCCAAAGGAAGTTGTGATTTGATGGTTTTTAAAAATCGTACATTGGGTAAATGATATTCATTATTTTGGCATTCGTCCTGTCTTTTTTTGGCAACGGACGCTTTTGTGTTTGCACAACATGTTGTGCAGTGATTTTCCAATAGACGAAGCAATCACTTGACTGTTTCTGAGATATCTTTGATGTAGAGTGAAGTAACGCACCTACTGATTTCAGGTGATTACCCTGCCTTCAGTCTTGTTGATAAGTACGTTTTGATGAGGTTGCGTGGATAATCATCGGGTTTGAACACTATACAGGTATTTTTCTTCGGCTTTCTGTAGTTCTTCAGTGCTGCAATATTTTTTGCTCTTGAGAATAGTGTTTGTACACAACATATCTTTTAGGCTGTAAGAGGATTACCGTTTTAGTTCAAAATCTCATTAGTATGTGTGGTTTTCCTGTACATTCAACTTTGTAAAGTCCCATCATGTCTTCTACTGAAGAGGTCATCTAACAATGAAATTTTGCTGTTGACTTCCTTCTCCTTTGTGAACTGGATTTCTTCAAAAGTTTCGTTGACTGTTGACTAGAAGGTAGAGCGATTCCATCCAGTATAACAACACAGAATCACAAGTACATCAAGAAATAGTGTTATTACTTGTATTACGTTGTCGTTGATTGGACCAAACTGATCAATCTCTGTTGTCATATGGGCTCCTGTGCGGATGCCTCGATATTGCCTACGTTTTAATTATGTATAGTAATGATGGGTAATGGCTAGCAGTGGAATCCAAGATGCGCATTTCGTCCTATTTGGGACTCGTCAGCTGGATGTACCTGCTTCCCAGTGAGTGATGTTGTTCCCACCGGGATTCGGACACAGGAGCGATCGCTTCAAAGGCGAGAGCGTTGTCTACTACATAACTGAGCCACGATAGGCACTTCTTGTGTGACGGGTGGTGTAACAAATGACGCTCTCGCCTTTGAAGCGATCGCTCCTGTGTCCGAATCCCGGTGGGAACAACACCACTCACTGGGAAGCAGGTACATCCAGCTGACGAGTCCCGAACAGGACGAAATGCGCATCTTGGATTCCACTGCTAGCCATTACACTTCATTATTATACATAATTAAAACACCACGAAACGGTTTGGTTGATTAGTTTGAACGTGTTTTCTATTTCATCTTTGAGAATTACAAATATGTCGTCACTCATGTGGACATACATTTACTTGGCAAGGCATTTTATATTAAGGGTGAAAATAGGATGGGGTAAGGTAAATAAAGATAATTCATTATCTGGAAAATATGATGATAATAAGTAGGAATAATACATTTTCACAACTAACCTGGTATTAGAATGAGATAAAGTTTACCAAAGGAGGCTTTAGGTAAGGACAAATTATTTTTAATATACAAAAGGGGGTTTGAACTTTCATGTAGCTAAGGCTTCAACAAATCTAAGTATACAGTCTTGACAGCTCCTATGTAATAGTCTAAAGGCCGTCTTCGAGTCACTCCTGTGACTTGTTTTATAAATTGTCTACCGATAGAGGATGACATCTGTCTCCCTCTGTATTTATCCAACTATTGGAATATAAATGTTATCCTACAGTGGACTTTAGAAGAACTCCTACTTATGACATCTAAATATTTAGCGATGGTACTAGGTCCAATTAAAAACCCTTCCAAATTGAGACCTACTAACTTTTATGACTTGAAACACAGATTAATTGACATACATTTAGATGACAATGAAAAAATGGTTCATTTTGACGTGGTTACTTTTTATATCAATAAACCGACTGGCATGGCTTTAGAAGCAGTTAGAAATGAGATCAGTGATGACCATGAGCTTAAACTACGAACTAAGGTACCAATAGATGATATCATGTTAGTACAGCTATACCTAACTTCTACAATATTTGGGTTTTAGAATAAAATATACAAACAAACAGATGGAGTTGCCATGGGATCACCAATATCCCCTATTGTGGTTGGCATATTTATGTATAGTTGGGAACAAATGGGTATGGAAACATTTAGTCCGGCTCCAAAAGTATGGTTTCGAAATGTAGATGACATGTTTACAGTTCTAAAATCGTAGCACATCAATAGTTTCTTCACACATGAATTCAGTAGTCAACGCAATCCAGTTCACCTATGAAGGTGAACTAGCAATGTTGGATTGCCGAATAAATTGAAAACAAGATCGAAGTTTTGACACTAGAGTCTATAGAAAACCTTCACATTCAAACCGTTACTTAGACTTCAAATCGTCTCACCCTATGTCAGTCAAAGTTGGCTTGGTAAAATATCTAAGTAACAGGGTCAGAAAACTTACTAGTAAAACCAGGTCTAAGACAAGAAACCAGATACATTAAGGGCACGTAATTCATCAACAATTATTCTCCTAAATTAAT